TTGAGTAAAAGTAGCACTACTTTAAATTGACCTACTTAAGCAGGTAGTAAACAGAAGTTAATCACAGGAGCAGGAGTTTAAAAAAAGTATTCAGTAAAAAGCTACTCTAGAAATACGTTTTTAACCTGACTTAATTTGTGGAAACTATGTACTTGTACTGACAAAATATAATACAATATGAGATTCTGGTACTTATGAGATGTATTTTAGAGTATCAAAATACAATGAATCAAAATAATATGTTAAAATAGAAGAAACACATTTCTAAATTTCGGTTTCAACAACAAAGCAGCTCCGAAACCAGTAATGTATGTTATAAGAGTGCAAAGGGATTTTATTGACAATGTCTGTTGTTTAGTACATGTTTAACCTTTGGTTGACCATGGAGGTTCAATAGAAGGAAGATAATGTTAGAAAAATTAACTCTACAGACCAGAAGCCTCACATTTCCTAAAATGTCCTTGTTTGTCATTCACTTCAGAAACTCAATTTGGCCAAAGTAGTAGTAGAAATTGTACAACGTAAGTAAGAGTAATTAATGTTACTGAAGTAGTAATTGAATGTTGCAGTTAAACTGCTAGTTCCTTTTCTTCAAAAAGTTACCCAAGTTTATGAAAATGACAGTGTAAATGAAAGCATACATAGTTAATAAATCACATTCCTCATTAGTTTTGGTAGAAATAGATATTTATCTAATTTATGGCTTCCACTATTGAACACATACATGCATAATTTCCTCAAATCTCTGAGCATTTACAACAGAACTGACCTTACAATGCAACTTCATTTGTCCAAACAACATAGCATAATTATTTTCCTAATCCCAGGATCGGACAGTGTTTATCTGCTGGAAAATAATATATTATCTTGCATATTACATTCAGTTATAGTTATCCTTAAATAACTGGATATGTTCTTATGCCCCCCACAGCCCTGTTATAGCTCTTACACAATCATCCAGGTTTTGTCATGTGTTGGTTTGACCCTGTCAAAATAAACCTGTCATTCTGTCTGTTGACTGTGGAACAAGCAGGGGCACCCAGCAGTGTTTAGGTGTAAACATACAGGAAATAACGAGACACTATAAAAATAGGAAGTAAAAGTCCCCAATTTGTGCGCATCAGAAAACTGCAAATGGCCTCAACAACTGGATATCGTCCCATTACTTGATCCTCTGCAACAACCAATTATTTTTTATCTATCTATCTATCTTTTATTTAACTATAAAAGATACAAGTCAACACTGGCAAGGTCTAAGAAAATTAACTAATTAGAGTGTATTGATTAGCCACCATAAAAATACCGTAAAGAAAATAGAAATATTTGTGTCATGATTGGTTACTGAGTAAGCCCAATATGCAGAACACACACGGAGGCTGATGAAAAGTTTAACAAGGTTTATTGTTATCACAAGCACATGAATATTGCACTGGAACTGGTTCAGGTCTGGGGGGAGGTTCACTGGAGTCTGCAGAGATGACAGTTCAGTTAGCACAGGAACTGACGAGTTATGAGTCTTAGAGTTTGCTGAGGAATACCTTGAAGGAGTCCGGCTTCCTCTTTGAGAGAGGTAACTGTTGGGTCCAGAGACTGTTTGTTCAGCAGAGACCGATAACTGCTTCAGCGTCTTACTTCTGACTTTGAGGGCAGACCTTGATTTGGGTTTCCAGCTCTTAACCAAGAGCTGCAGGGGAATCCAGAGAAGAGTCTTCAGGTTAGGCTCACGAGGGGAGGCTAGGCAGGTTAAGCTCATCCAGAGCTTCACGAAGAGACAGGATTCCTGTGAGGCAAAAAACAAGGAAGAGTTAGAATTTTATCTCAATAGAGATAGCAAAGATTCTCAGGTTTACTAGGCTCAGGTTGCTCATCAAACCAGATCAACACTGCGGTGTTGAGGCAAGGTCTGAAGGCAGGTTATATAGTAGATCCTCTGATGATGAGATGGGCCACAGGTGTGTTGGAGGCTCAGCTCAGGAGGACCCACGGCGCACTCTGCTGGAGGAAGGTGGTACAGCTCCAGATCCCAACAATTTGTACAGAGAGTTGTGTAAACCAAAAATTCAATCAAATGATAAATCAAATCAAATTTGACTGAATACCTGCAAATGTCTTTTTGTATTATTGTCAGGTTTAATGTTTGGCCAAGCCCATCTAGTGGACCATCCTAGGCCCCAAACAATACTACTGCCTGTTCCCTCTCCTCCGTATCCTTCCTGCGGGTGACCGTTGCCTCTGTCCGCTGGTATGTTGGTGGTTCTCCAAGTGCTGAGCTACAGCTCCTTGGGGCCTGAGCAACATAGTCTCTGGGCTCTGGCCCCAGGCTCTCATATGCCTTTTTTGGGAGGGTGTGTCTGCCTTTGTCCTTTTATACTTATATACTTGTGTCATTGTTTTGGTTCTGTTTAAGTTATATCTTTGAGTTTTCATTGGTTTTATTTCTATTTTGTATTATAAGAACACAAAAACAATCAAAAATACCTAGAATAACACAAAATGGAAATAAAACCAATGAAAACTCAAAGATAGAACTTAAACAGAACCAAAACCATGACAACTTGTATTTACTGTATGTCTGTGGAGTACTCCCTCTTTTGTCATGGATGGTGTGTTGTCTGCTGTTTTTTTTTTTTTTTTTTTTTATCTCTTCCTTCTCTTTTTTTGCAGGTATGAAAGCAGAATTTTATGAGTTGTTTTGTATTTTATGTTTCTTTTTTCTCCCTTATTTACTCTCTTTCCCATTTTCCTTTCTTTCCAGCTTCTCTCTCCATTTAACTCAGATCAGCTCTCTTACCTCTCTTTTTGCATGTGTTCATTGCATATGTTTTTTGTATGTATGTCTGTTTGTTTGTTATTGTTTTTTTTTTTTCAAAGACTCTTCTCATAAAGTTTCATACACAATTACAAAACAGAACCTTATAGGAACAGCCATTATGGTCCTTATGTAAAAGCTAATCTATTGGGCAATTATCAAGCACTGGGACATCAATTCTCAATGCTTTAATGACAAACAGGACAAGTAGGTGAGCTGTTACCAAACTCCGGTAGTCATTTAGTGAGAGGCGGATAATATCCTGGATAGGTTACCAAAATTGTTCAGAGGGCATCTCAGAACAAATCACCATGCACACACTGGGCACTTTGGGGCAACTTAGTTCATTGGCTTTTAATGGCCCTTTTTTGAATGATGATTTTATCTAAAACAAGAAGCCCTGGCTAACAGTTTCCATCAGTTATATGAATTGTATGGTGTTTCTGTGGTCTCCGAGGTTAATGGTCACAGTAGATAGCAGCTGGAGGTCTTTGAAAACATTGCAGCACAGATTTAGAGAAACCAATTTGCCTAACAGTCATGTTTTTGGACTGTGGGAGGAAGCCAGATTATGTGGTGAGAATACAAGAATCCATGCACGTGAGGATTCGAACCCATGACCTCATGGACATTCAGGGAACGGACATTGAGATAGTGGACTCTTATAAGTACCTAGGTGTTCATCTGAATAACAAACCTGACTGGACTCACAACACTAAAGCTCTCTACAAGAAAGGTCAGAGCAGACTCTTCCTGCTGAGGAGACTTGTTTTGTTAGTGTTTTGGAGTGCAGGGGACATTCCTAAAGACCTTCTATGACAGCCATCCTCTATGGAGCCGTCTGTTGGAGCAGTGGCTTATCTGCAGCTGAGCGAAAGCGTTTGGATAAGCTGATCAGGAAGGCCAGCTCACTGATTGGATGCCCCCTTGACTCAGAGCAGATGGTGGGAACCAAAACGATCCTATCTGAATTAACATCCCCAGTGCATTATGTCTCCCAACCCCATGCATGAAGCTGTTGCAGAACTTGAGAGCTCCTTCATTGACAGACTGCTGCACCCTAAGGGTAGATTATACTTCTGCAACCGCACACATCAAATGTCGCTTGAGTTTGGACGCATACCAGTTTTGCTGGTATGCTTCTGCACCATCGGTCTGGAATTTCTGACGCACAGCAGTTTCCCGCCAAAGCGCAAGGGGGAGTCTATTCGAGAACTTCGGTGGACTGTCCGAGAACTTTGGTAGTGCCGGCGGGAGTTTTTAATTTCCAAAACAAAAATGGCACGTCTACAAGTCACAGAGATCGATCTAGAGTTGCTGGACATCGAAGAGGAACAGGTTCTGTTAACGGAGTTTGCAAAAAGAATGATTAACCTTTTGTCCTAGGTTGTCCATTGTAGTTGTTTCTCGGTTTTTAAAAATGCCACGCCCTGGCAACGAATCGAGAAGGACGAACACATAGACAGCTGGAAAGGCATACCAAGGACCAACCACAGCTGCTTTTTGTTTGCGCACTTCCGCTTGAGGTCTGCGCGGGTTTGCGACCGTCCAATGAGTAGTTAGAATTTTTTTTTAGGTGCGCTGCAACAGTTGCAGAACCTCTGCGCGGGGGGATGGTTACAGACGCCTGGTTGCTTCAGAACCATAAATTGGCCTTAAATGCACCAGGGAACATTATCACAGATCCTTCCTCCCAGCAGGTGTAAGACTATATAACCACCACTGTTCCCAGTAACATTTTTCCTATAGTCTTCTTTCTGCTGTAAACACCAGAATTTCCTCATTGTGGGACAATAAATTGATTTTCTATTCAATTCTATTATTTTCTATTCTAATTATAAGGGTTCTATTGCTTTTTGTTTACTTTGTCAAATCTAATAATTTAATTTAAGTAATCTTTGAAACGTTCATGTATTTACTTGTTTAAGGCATTTATTTAAAGTTTTACTTCACCTTTGCATTGGTGAATAATTATTTTTAGTAACAGAGAGGGAATTTGGGGCAAATGAAAATGCCTCAGCTAAATATATCTTCACTTGGTTGGTGCAATAACAGAGGATGAATGTAATGAAGGTTTTCAACCACAAAAAACAATACAAACCTCCTCATAATACAAAGACACGACATGGGGGTGAAAAGTAAGCCTGTCAGTAGCAACGTGAGTAAAGAGCGCGAAGGGGAGAGAGAGAGAGTGAGAGAGGGAGGAAAAGAGAGGGAGAGAGTCCGGACATTGGCTGCTTTCCTCAGACTCTCCAAGGAGGCAGAGATGGAAACAGAATGAACCTGGCAGGGAGCTGTTTCAAAGGAAAATGCCTCTTGGGTGTCGTTACCCACTGGCATCAATATCAGAACCGAGTATTTTGGAGAATGAAGCAGAGACTTCCAATTTTTTCTCGATGCTTGGAGGATTATGGACCTTGGCTGTGAAGGTTTGGATAGCTACCTGCTTCTTTATTTCTCTCCCCTCCCTCTGCTATAGTCAGCCCTTTATTTCCGTCACGTGTTATATTATTATTATTTTCTAGGAAGAAGGGTCAGCCGGGCTTTGGCGCCGACGTTGAAGATGTTTTTGCGTCGTGCTTCGCCTCCGTTGGACGCAGGTGCGTTTAGATTCCCAAACCTGTGGCCGCGCGCTCCTCAAACACTGCGCTGTGAGATCCTTGCGTCTTTGCTCCATTGCGCATGCTCAGTGTGAGATCCTGAATGCTGCCCCGACGCGTCTGCGCTGCGTCCTGGCTGCGATGTAGCAGCAGCAGCAGCTTTGGGAAGTGGAGAGGAGCGGAGGACTGAATGAGGGGGGAAATAAACATGCGCGCTGGGACAAAGTGGCTTCATCAAAGGATTTGAGCCGAGATAGAAAACAGTGGCACTAAGTGAAGAATGTCAGGGGCACCACATGCGGAGGCTGAAGGAGTAGTCTCCAAAGTAAAAGTGAAAAAGGAGATCAAGACAATCGTGGAGAATTTGGAAACCATTCTGGGAGACCTTAAGGATGTGGCAAAGGAGCTGAAAGAGGTAGGCTAATATTTATAGAAAAAAACAACAATATTTTTTAACCATCCTGTTTGAGAATGCTCTCTTTAGGATATTTTGTCTGGCAGAAGATGAAAGACTGGCGTCTACCTCTACTGTGGTTTGGACTGTGCTCCTCCTACCCCACCATGCCCACTAATGCATGTGATCATTATCACCAACATGAAAGCCATTTGGCACAGGAGGATGTAGGGGTGTGAAATGACAGGACAACTCCTTGACTCACAAGCCATGATGAAAGTGAGAAATTGCAATCACAATTAATATTTAATGGACAAGTTGGTCCAACCACAGAGGCGCCTTTTGCATTGTATTTCATCATCTTAATGCAGACTGTTGTTCACTGGGAATTGGCTCCTGCCAGATAATAGGGATGTGTTTGCATCTCTGTTAAGGTGTCTCTCTCACTGCCTTCTAAACTTAAACTCTCCTCTCTAACCTGCTTTGGATTCTTTGCTAAAATACCAAAACTCTTGGATCTCAAAGGCTTCATTTGAAGAAAGTTTTTCAAAGGGGTGGTAATATATATTAATAATAATTGAACTTTATATATCTCACATTGGAGAAATTTACCTCTGCATTTAACCCATCCCCTTAGGGAGCAGTGGGCTGCCATTCTGAGGCGCCCAAAGAGCAGAGTGGGGTTAAGGGTCTTGTTTAGAAAACCAGAGTGGAGGCTGTGGGGATCAAACCAGGTACTTGCAACCTTCTCAGAGCACAAGCACACTGCTCTAACCTCTAGGCCAACACTCCCCGATATCAGGGACACTAGAGACGTGAAGGAAAGACATCTGGGACTAAAATAATGATATAAAAATGAGAGATGCTTCAATCAATTAGCAGTTTTTTTCCTTTTAAATCCTCTTTGATAATTCAGATTTCTTTTTTTTTCATCCTCATTAGATGCACTACATCATTTACAAAATATGTATCAACCTCCAGATAATAACTGGACCCAGTTTTTTTTTTACTTAAGCACAGATTTAATGTTTTCATGCATTAAAAGTGGAGAAATTCTAGTTTAGAGTTCTCAAACTCCAGTCTTCCTGGGACACAGTAGAATTTGATTCTAGTCTAATAGGACTCATCTAAAGGTGTTTTTAAAGTTCACTTACTTTGGAACAAATAGGCTGATGAGTTTGTTCACTTTTGGCCTCTCCCATTGTTTTGGTTTCTTTTTATACAGAGAGAAAAAAAGGCAAAAACAGAACCTCAGTCTGTTTGTTTGTTAGATGTGTCTGGACAGTGACATCGAGGAAGGATATATTGTGTTCAGAGCTAGTTGGAAACATAAAAAACTTAACCATATCATTAATCTATCTCTAGGAAGCTAGTATTTCAGTTAAATGTATCTGTGCAATAATGAAAGTATATTTTGAGGATGCCTTGAGCACTTACATAAGGATTTATCACTTTAAGAGAAAGACGTCATACTTATGTTTATCAGTCTGTTTACTACTAGCTTGAGACTCATGTTAATCCCTTCTTTTTTAATTTAAACCTTTGACATGTATCAAATACCATGCACCAATGCTTTTCCCTTTTTTATCAAACTCAAATAAGGTAGGTGAGAGGTCAAAGATCACAACGTATCCAATCAACAATGGGTCCCAGCAACTCTTTTAAATATTGATGTTTTAACTGTGGGAGAAAACTAAAAGTTGGCCATTTTTCAGTATAAGTGAGTTGTTTAGACAACTATGATAAAGCACAAAAGCACAAGAAGCTAATTGAAAGCACTTATATTGTAGTTACGTGACTGTATTTCCTAAGGTATGTCGCTGTATAAGCAAAAAGACATCTGCTGTTTATAGTTCGTCTAATCTTGCTACTCACAAATGAGATGTGAAGGGCAAACAAAACACTTGGTCACAAAATTCTAATATATGCATTAAAGACAGCTATTGTATTCCCCTAAAACATTTACTATCTCCTTTGAAATTGATAATATTAAAAAATCCGCTTACATGATAGCACGGCCTCCCTGGTGGGACCACGTTAATAGACGTTATGCAACACGATGAGAAGAAATAGGTGATGATAGAGACTCAAACATATGGCTCTGGGTTTCTACGTTGTATTTAATCTGAACTTTAAATATTTATACTGCAGGCTATCCACCCTTAGTCCCCCTGTGACTTGTTTTCTTGCATCAAATCAGTGCTTCTTCTGATGCCAGTCACTGAATCACAGCCTGCCACTTCGGCTGTAATCAACCTGCAGCCTTAGTTGGTCTTATGTTTTGCATTCCTGCACTGGCTACACACCAGGCAAACCTTTCACCTTAACACGACAAGCTGTCATTCTAATAAAATCTTATTGCATACAGCCTCTGCTTCCTACATTATGGATGGCTACTCCACAGCATCTGTCTCCCTCTGCTTCCATGCTTCCCTTTTTTGCCTTCTCTTCCTCCGTTGTTCTTTTTTTCTCACAGTTTGAGATTAATAAGTCTTCTTTTGTCCTTTTCAACCGTTTACAATTTATCACAGCCTGCATCAGAGTTAAATGACAATAGGAGGGCATTTTAATCTGTTGTAATCTTTGCTGATATGCCCTTTCCCTTTATTTTTCTTTTATTATTACTTATTTGTTCTTCCTTGCAGGGATTTCTATAGAGGATCAGTTATTCTGACACCACTCACATTAAACACAGAGCTGGAGGGGATGTTACTATCAAAGCCAGCGTTTAGGGCCTAATCCATTTGAAATGTGGTTATCTTTTAGAACTTGCAGACAGGGCTAGAGCTAAGTCTGGCTCTGAGGAAGGACCCCGCTCAGATGCTTGGCACTCCCACCCAGGCTGCCTGGCCTACAGTAGGGGCTGCACATCGGGATACTGGTATTACCTCTTGTGTGTGTCCCAACAAATTATCCACTTAAAGACTGCAGGGAGAGCTAAGCTCTCTGGCTCTCTCCACTGCCCTTCTCCTGCTTTCCTTTCTCCTCTTGTCCTATGCCTCTCTTTTTCTCTTGTAACCACTGCTCTGAACTCTTTCGACAAACATTTAAACCCCACACAGTCACATTGTGGCATAGGTCAATAAACACTTTTCTTACTTCACAATAAATCAAAAGCTTTTGTTTAGAAGTGCGAGCCTGGGAGAAAAATACATCAGAACTGCCGGTTCTTATTTTAAGTATCCACACTTTGGATCGTTGTGTTTAGAGTAGTATTTAAAAGTATGGTTTGATTGCAGCTTGCTTCTGTCAAATATGGATGTGCCCTTGGGCAAGACGCTTAGCCTCAAGTTACCAAGAGACCTGGATATCTGTGTATGAATGTGTGGGTGGTTGTGAGCATGACTGGATGAATGTGACTATTGTGTGAAGCCCTTTAAATAGTCACTTTGAGTTAATAAGTGCAATGGAAACTCAGCCAATTTGCCCTTTAAATGGTATTTATTTTTTAATCTAGTACATCTATCTAGATGGATGGATGAATGGATGGATGGATGGATGGATGGATGGATGGATGGATGGATGGATGGATGGATGGATGGATGGATGGATGGATGGATTTTTTTAGATGTTTGTGGATAAAAAATGTTTGAAAATCATCTATCTTTTTCTTTTCAGTTTATGTGTTGCTTTTTGTTACTTAAATTCCATGTAAAATACACAGAAGTTTATGATTTTAAGTTGAAAAAATGTCAAAAGGGTTCAAGGAGTATACATGCTGTTGAAAGGCTCCTTAGACATACTCAGGCTCTTTAAGATTTTCTAGTATTTAAGAAGTAAGGCAGTAATTACTGACATTCTCAGCGGTTCAGTTTGGCTGGCAAAGTAGAAACAGCCCTACAAAGGAAGAAAAAATTGGCAAGAAGAATCTTATCTAAGAGGAAATATTTTTGGTAGACTTGTAAACATTACTTCGAAACAAAAAACGCAATATTTTTTGATATCTGAGGAGTTAAAACACAGTTACTGATTCCTATCTGTTGTTAGTTGTAGTAAACATGTATTAACCAAACAGACCCCTGAGAAAGATGTGCAAAAACAGCTTAAAATAAATAAATTTTCTAATGCAGTGACATAACACAGCACTGAGAAAGGGTGGATAATGAATTATTGTTTTGTAAACAGAATAAAAAAGTATTCATATCCCTGCTGTTGATACAGTGTATTTTATGCCAGAAGGATAGCATTTTCCAAAGTTGGAGCAGGGGGATCTTTATCATTCCTCTTTTCAAAATCCCTCTGATGAAGAGTCCTGCATCCTTTATTTGCTTTTGTTAGAAAAAGTGAGGAGGAGTAAGGAGTAAGGAGTGATTAGGGCATAGAGCTTGGAATCCTGAGATTCTGAGTTCGAACCGTTCTGAGCAGGACCCTTAACCCCACACTACTCCCTGGGTGCCGCACAATGGCAGCCCACTGCTCCCCAAGGGGATGGGTTAAATGCAGAGGTAAATTTCTCCAATGTGATCAATCAAGTGCAATTATTATTATTAGTTATTTATATGGTACATTTCAGTGGCAAGACAATTCAGAGTTTCGTACATGAGAAAAAAAAGTAGATAGCGGAAACACAAATAATAAAAGAGAATAAAAGCAACATGTTCAAGTAAGATGAGTATATACAAAAAACAATAGGATGATTAATTAAACATTTTTAAAAATATAAACCCGAATGAGAAAACACAATGATATGTTTAAGTAGGACAGTAAGAGGTAGTTAGGCTCTCATCCAAAAGCTGTTCTAAAGATTCAGTTCTAGGGAGTGAGATTGCCATAGAAGAACGTTGATTATGTGTCTAATGGACCATTTGCATTCATAAGAACATATTTTTTAGCTTATTATCCTATTAAAAAACCCAACAACGAGACATTTTCAGTGCCTCTTAGAGGACTACACATTTTGTGTTAAGATGTCTAGGTGTTTCATATAGTTTATGCACAATTTAACAAGATTCAAGAGATTCTGAATTAAGGGGGGGGGGTTTCCTAATTCTTCCAGCCATCCATTTTCTGTCACGCTTTATCCCAGCTAAGGTTGCGATGGGTGCTGGTGCCTATCTCCAGCTGTCTACGGGCGAGAGGAGGGGTACAAATTCTTCCAATGCAAGATAATTTACTTTAGGGGTGGATTTACATGTTTTGCCATAGATTTTACAAATGGCTAATGTAAATGTAATTTTAAACCATGCGGCAGTATGGGCACTACATGCATGAATGAAACCCCTTAGATTGGTTTCATATAAACTGATTATTCATCATGTGTCCAACGTTTCTATCAGTCTTCATGTTTTGTAAAGAGAGACAGAGATAGATTCAAATAATACCATGTTTTCTCGTCTTTAATTTCATAGGATTCCCATTACTTGCCATAAACATAGGTCATATCTGTTCCAAAATTAATAAATATTTCTTTGCATGCTAGTTATGAGCCCAGATAAAAGCACTTTTTCTTTAGTATCATATGTTTCCTCTTTAATTCTGAAGAAATCTGATACAAATTTCTGCTGCATTTTTTAGCAACAACAGTTTTTTCTCATTTCCTTCTATTGCCCTTCCTTCTAATTGTTTTCCACAGAGTTCTGTATTCATGAATTATATAACGTTTAGAGATAACAGATTAATTCTGTTGCTTAAGCAGTTCTTCACTTGCGTACTTTGCAACAGACTGCCAGTATATTGATTTTTCATATTTTTGTCCATGCCTTCTTTTCCTCCTGACCTATCTTCTTATATAAATTATGACTCTTGTGTCTCCTTTTTTGCATTGGAATTGTTGCTGTTAATTATTAAAGTAACAATAGGAGAAGTTAGATTTTCATATGTGAATATCTTCTGTGTGTTTGCAATTGGTTTACAGAGTAAAGATAAGTCATAACTCAAATTCTCGCTCTTTTTGGGACCTTGGTATCTTTATCTCTCATCATTAGTGCTATGTCTGGATTTTATTTTTAAGGAATGTATCATTTGTTCTTTGTTAAACATCTTAACCCTCACCTAAGAATAATTCCTGCATGAAAATGATTGTTAAATTGAAGGGATAAACCTGTCTCATGAATACACATGACCACTGAGCAAAGAAAGAGTCTTACTTTGGCAGGTGCCATCTGTGAAGATGAATTTTAAAGTCTTGAACAGACTCTTAATTGGAGTTAGACTTTGATTAGGCAATTTTGACCCCTGAATATCTTTTAATCCAGAGTTTTCCCATCAAAGTCATCATGACCTTTTGTCTTCCATGTTTTTGGCTTTTCTCTGACTTCTATAAATGTGTGTAGAAGTGCCTTCTGAGGCCCTTGACTGTATGCGAGGAGAATACACAATCATTTGCTCCAGTTCTACTGGAGCACAGGCACGGCTTAAAACATGGAGGACAGTGGGCCCTGAGGTCCAGGGTTGAGGACCACTGGGCTAAGCTGTTCTGTTACAACTCTGGGTGTGGGTTTACAGTTATCCAGATAAAAGTGGAGCCTTCAAGCCAATATTTCGCTTTATTTAGTTTAATACATCCTTTAATTGACTCTGACCCACTGGTAAAGAAAAACCATCCCATCAACCCGAATTTACCACCATAAAGTCAAGATGTGTGATGGGTTTTTTTTCTTTCAAAAATAATGGTTTTGCACCAAGTTGATTTTGGGTCTAATATAACCAGATAATGAATTGCTTTTTACCTATCATTCTTTCATAAAAGGCAGGTGCTGCTTTGAGTGTAGTGTTGATTTCTGTCTTCAAGTTACCCATGAGCTTCTTGGCTGCCTCTCTGAGCAATGCCTGTCCTTGTCCGTTTAGGCCCAAGTATTTCTGAGTCCTTTCAGTTGCTCCCTTATTCAAGTCAGTACAACTTGCTTAAAGACTTGGCAGAATTTTCCTACACCAGATGTTTTCTGATGCAACCAGAATTTGAAATTTGGTTCCCTATACTCATACTCATCATCCTACTCTTTATCCTGGACCGGGTCATGGGGGCAGTCTCACCATAGACTCCCAGATTTCCCTCTCCCCAGACACCACCTCCAGCTTTGCTGGGGGAAGCCCCAGGCTAGCCGAGAGACATAGTCCCTCCAGCTTGTACCTTCTTGTCCCCCTGGTGGTATATGTCTGGAACACGTCCCGAGGGAGGCGTCCAGGGGGCATCCGAAAAAGATGTCTGAGTTACCTCAGCTGACTCCTCTTGATGTGGAGGAGAAGCGGCTCTACTCCAAGCCTTTCTTGACTGCCTCCTAAGCCTGACTCCAAGGGAGTGCGTAGCCACCCTGCGGAAAAAGTTAATTTCAGCCACTTGTATCTGAGATCATGTTCTTTCAGACATGATTCAAATTTCATGATCATAGTTAAAGGTAGGAAAGTCGACCAACTGGTAATTCATGAGATTTGCTTTTCACTCAGCTCTCTCTTTACCAAGACAGACCAGTGCAGCGTCTGCATTATACAGTAGCCGCCGAAATTTGTCTATCGATCTCTCGCTCCATTCTCCCTTCACTCTTGAACAGGACCCCAAGATACTTGAACTCCTCCACTTAACGCAGTTTGGTGAGGGAATAGCTAACTGTTGAGAAAAGAAGGAAAACTACAAGTTGGAGGTGGAGGGTATGAGATCATTTTTGATATATATAGGAATTTGTAACGATTTTTTAAGAAAAGAGGTCACACCCGAGAACAAAAAAAAGTATAAACACTCTCTAAAGGAGATTAATTGTTTGTAAAAGTAATTAACAGAGAGCATACCTGAGAGAGACATCATCCTCCATTCTTCATGTCTTCTATTGTATTCCATTCTTTTATCTAAAAGCTCCTTTGAAATTACCGTAATTTTACCAAAATAATGCTTTATTTCTGTAAAACTGTAGTGTCATAAATATTATAGATTCACATTGCACTAAGTCTGTTAGCTTAGTGCATTATCCCAAACAGCTGTTTGGATACATTATTTCTGAGACTGATGTATTCCAACGTTGAATATCTGTAACAAAGCTGGTGAGTCAAACACTAACATTCTTTTCTGCCCACATATTGAAGTCTGGATGTGCAAAACCTGTAGAGACATGTCAAATAAACCTGCAAATGTTATAGTTCTGTATAATAGTCACCTTAAGGAACCTGAAAATAAATGTACAACACACTTTAAAGATGTTTATTTCATTTTTTTCCACATTGCTTCAATTTGAGCAATAGTTTTGCAAGCTTAGCAACCATGACAGCAGATCTCCAACTGACATTAATTTTCTCGTTGTCACCAGGTTGTCCATGACATTGACACCCTGACCGGTGACTTGCAGTTGGAGGAGGACGGACTGACCGATAGCTCCAAGACCGACACGCTTAACTCCAGCTCCAGCTCCACCACTACCACAACGACTGCGTCCAGCCTGGAGAAAATGAAGCTGTTCCCAGAGGACTGCATCTTCAAAACACAGGTGCCCATGAGTCCGGTACAGCTCCATCAACCGGCAGTTCTGACAGTGCTCAAGAAATCCCACCCTCCCCTGCCACCGCCGAGGCATACCACACTGAGAGCTGAGGAACACAACATAAAGAATCTGCCTCATCCGACTTTGGTCTTATCAGGGAATACGTCAAAGGCTAACGGGTCTTCGCTGAGGAATGGCGGGGTTTTCCCATTAAAACCAAACAAGGATTTATTCTCCTCTACTCCCTGCTTCATTTCTGGCGAGAGCGAGATGCAAGAAACTGGTCTGGTTCCTACGCTGCCAAGGCCAATGCCGCTTCTTCGGCATGAGAAAAACAAATGCCCCAAGGCCCCAGGAAGAGAACACCGCGAGAGAGAGCGGGTTCGTTTCAGCGAGAAGGTCCAGTATCATGGTTACTGCCCAGACTGTGATCTCCAGTACGATGTAGACGATGCAGAACTGGACTTACAGGCCGAGCTGAGTGACTTAAGGCTAAGCCCGGTGCATTGCTGCTCTTCCTCCCCTTCTCCTCCTTCCTCTCACACACTCCCTCATGCACTAATGTTGGAAAACGGGGGTCTTTCAGTCAGCCACAGTTTCCCCCCGACAGCACACACTCCCCCACCTTGTGTGTCTCCATACACACCTTCCCTTAAGCCCCATAAAACAATCCTACGTAAATCAACCACCACCACTGTTTGACCCCCCCTATTAGGTCTCAATTTAAACATTGTTGGATAAAAAAATCCTAGTGCTTTCTACTTCAGCTGAACTTCGGATTATTCAAGCAAAGAGAGAGGAGGGGTCTGAAGACCGAAAACAAAGTGGATAAAGAGAAAGGCGAGCAGGACATCACAGCGAGATGTGAAACGGCAACATCATGGAGGTGAGTTCGTGTGCATGTGTGAATGTGTTTGGCAGAAAGGAGGAAGAGCAAATGCATGTGTGAGGCAGAGCCGTAAGTATATCTTTGTACATACATTTTATTCATGTGTTTGTTGGTGCTTTAATAAATGGGCTGAGAATTCTGCCTGAATTAGAAAAGGATCGGGGAATAGACAAAAAGATGACCCAAATCAGTTAATCTCTGTCTCTTAGGAGCGCTCCTTACAAGACTCAAAGTCAGGAAGTTGTTTGTTCGAGGGGCCTCTGATTAATTCATCTATCTTGATGAAACAAGGACACCAGCCTCTTTCATTGTCTCTCCAACAAATTATCCAATTTCAGGCACTGACACCTAAGCACAGAAGCAGTCGGAGGTTTGAACACACCACAACCTACGCATGAATCTTGCAGCCACTTCAGGCTTGTGATGAATTGCTTTTGGTGTTCTTCTTTCAGGTACAAGAAGTTAAAATTTAATTATCTTTAAAAACAAAAAAAGGCTTACCATTTTTTTTCAGGATTTTTTCTATTTCACATTAGGCCATCATTATATAATGACCTGAACATGTGTTCGCCTGCTTAAAGTGGTTTTCTCTTTTTTATCAGATTTAAATGTTTCAGATCATCATGTTTCAATATCAGACAAGGATCATTTGAAACCTGATCCTTGCTCAGCAAATCATTACCCACACGACAATACCTGGTTGAGCATTGCCTGGAGGCAAAATTGTGAACCGTTTTGATAAACTGTAATCTGTATTTTACATTGTTGCTCTGGTTGACTTCTTCTTGTGGAATTCAGTTAATCCACGAGTGGGGTTTTAAGCCTAAATTTCCTCTTTAAGGTCCTTCCTCCAACTTTCATTTTGTCGACAGGCAAGTGTTTCTTTATATCATACAAAACCGTAGTATTGTTGATAGTGTTTCTTCCAACTTCAGTCGAGTTACTGGTGTGTTTCAGATAATTTTCCTAGTGCAAAAAAAGTTACATTGAGTTGTTGGTTACAAAGGGGGGCAGATTTGTGGGTCCGATCATATAGGGCTTGTCATCCAGCACACAAAGTACCCAAACACCATCATATTTCAATGGAGGGAATTTGAGATACACTAGCCTGAATAATCCACTCCAAAACCAGATTTGATGTGTTTTTGGATCATTGTTCTGTTGGAACATTCTTATGTTCTTCCATCTGTGCTACTGGCAGCAAAAACAGAGGAAACATTAGAGAATAAGGAGTTAGTCCCTCCTCATGCTATATATATTTTGAAATATACAAACAAAACACTCTTTAAGATGATGTTTGACATTTTATACTTTGTTCTTGGGTTTGAAACCATGACTCCTGAAAATGATTCAGCCTGGTATGAATATAAAACCTGCCTGTCTGCAGATAAAAATTAAATTCTAGCTTTCATGTGTCTGATACATTGGCTGGCCGATATTATTCTTTCTCTCAGCTGATATGTCTATACATACCTAATTATTAGGACATTCAGCAGCCATTCCTTAGAATTCGTTGCAGTGCATTACTGCTCCCTCCATTTGCTATCCATTGTTGATGTTTACTTAGAGTTGATAATGAACATTTCTTTTTTTTTTATTGAGACTTGTTTCACATCTCTTATCATTTTGTCATTTTTATCATGTAAATGGGGGAAGATCAAGCAGTATCAGCCTAAATAATCAGCCGGGAAAAAAAATAGCAGCACAATCAGTTACCATTTCTATTTCAAAGATTTGTTAAATATCCAGCCAGAAATGGTGGCAAGTGTAAGCATTTATCCACATTTTTATATTTGCAAATAGCTTATAAATGAATGAAGTATTAGTTAAAAGCAGCAATAAAGCCTGAAATCAATATAACGTTTTTGCCCCTGAGATTTCAAAAGCTTCTGACCAGAACCTCCATAAATAGAAGGTCATGTCAGAGTAGGTCAGCTTAGGAAGTTATTTCATTTCTCTACATGCATACCGTGTTATGTCTTTGTGCAAACCTGCGTAAATCTTTCAAACTTCTTCATTATTTCCAAGTTCAAGTGCTGCTTATCTGATGCTATCAGATTAGTGGAATGGAAAGAAGCAGTAGATAATAGCGAGAGAGTTTCTAGACTGATGGAGGTAAAACATGCTGGTAAACAAATGCTAGATCTGTCACCAGGTTCTGCTCTCCAGACATTGAGTTTCTGACTGTTTAGTGTGCTTAGCATTGCTGCTGTTTATGTGGCCCCCAGTGCTAATACAAAACAGGCCATGAAGATTCTATATCAGGATCTCTTAGCTTCAATCTGCACACACAGACGGCGTTTTCACCATTGCTGGGGATTTTAACCAGGCTAACTTGAATATTGAGCTCCCTCATTTTTAGCAACATGTGGACTTTGCAACTCGGGGTGAAAACACTTTAGACCTGGTTTACTCTTAATATCAAAGATGCATTCTGAGCAGCTCCCCCACCCCCACTTCTGGTCACCAGATAACCTCTTTGTCATGCTAATCCCTGCATACAAGCCCCAGCTAATCAGGGCTAAACTGACGGTTAAAGAGTTCCGTGTGTGGTCTGAGGGTGCCATGCAGAAACCTCAAGACTGTTTTGAATGCTTGGACTGGAATATCTTCAAGACTGCAGCAACCTATAACAGCATATTAATAGTAGACGAATATGCTATGACTGTATCAGCCTACATCAACAAATGCATTGAGGACGTCAGCATCAAATAGAACATCACCTGAGCAAGCAACGGTTAGAAAATCGCTAAAAAGCAGGAAACTCAGCTTTCAAGTCTGGTGATAAAGAGGCACTGAGAACAGCGTGTGCCAACTTAAAACCTGCCATCAGATCAGTGAAGCAGAATCCCAGCCAGAAAATCCAGGATCTTTTCCACGATGCCAGCAACACCAGGAGGATGTGTTAAGGCATGCGGGCAATCACAGACTACAATACACCCTCCCCCCAGGTAGATGCAGCAAAAACTGACTTCATAAATTAACTAAACAATGTCTTTGGAAGGTTTGAGACACTAAACAGCACTCCAACAGTGAAAGCCGTTCCACACCAGGGGCAGGAGACACTCAACCTTGACATAGCTGAAATGAGGAAAACTCTGAGGAGAGTCAACCCAAGATAGGCCCCAATAATATACCTGGGCGGGTGTACAAGAAGTATGCAGGTTAGCTGGCTGGTGTCCTCACAGACATTATCAATACCTTGCTGGACCTATCCATAGTGCCAGCATGCTTCAAGTCTGCCACCATCATTCCAGTCACAAAGAAGCCTCAGGTCACCTCACTCAATGATTACTGGCCTGTTGCACTGACTCCAATCCTGATGAAGTTCTTCGAAAGAATGGTTAAAGAACACATCGTCTCCACTCTCCCCCCAACATTCGACCCGTTCCAGTCCTCCTACCAATAGAACCTCTGCACTGAGGACACCACCTCTGCCGCTTTCCACCTGAGCCTGGCACAGCTGGAAAAGAAGAACAACCACGTGCGGATGCTGTTCCTGGACTTCAGTTCAGCTTTCAACAGCATCATCCCACAGCATCTGATGGGTAAACCTAAACAGCTGGGCTTCAATACACCCCACTGCAACTGGCTGTTAGGCTTCCTCACAAACAGACCTCAGTCAGTCCGGTTCGGACAGAACACCTCTGATGTCATCAGTCTAAGCACAGGCTCCCCTCATGGCTGCGTCCTGAGCCCCCTGCTGTTCACTCACCCAGGTTCACCAATATACACATCGTGAAGTTCGCAGATGACACCACGGTGGTGGGCCTCATCAGAGACAACACCAACCGGGACTACAGAGAGGAGGTGGAGCAGCTGGTGGACTGGTGCAGATATAACAGCCTGATCCTGAATGTGGAGATGGCGAAGGAGATCATAGTTGACTCCAGGAAGAACCGGCCCAACCACGCTACACTGCTCATCAACAGCTCAGCTGTAGAGGTGGTCAACAGCACCAAATTCCTGGTGTTGAACATCACAGACACCCTCTCCTGGACTGTAAACACCACCTCACTGGTCAAAAGGGCACACCTGCCCCCAACCCATCCTCACCACCTTCTACAGCAGCACCATAGAGAGCGTTCTGGCCAGCTGTGTCACTGTGTGGTGTGGAGGCTGCAGCACCTCAGACTGGAAGAACATGAGAAGAGTGGTGAGAACAGCAGTAAAGATCATTGGGGCTCCTCTTCCCTCCATAAAGGAAATTTCATCCCAGCGCTGCCGGTCCCGAGCCGTAACATTATCAATGACCCCTCACACCGCCACCATGGACTGTTCTCCCTGCTGCCCTCTGGGAAGAGGCTTCGCAGCATTAAATGCAGGTTCAGCAGAATCCAAAACAGCTTCTTCCTTATTGCCATCAGACTGCTGAATGCTTAATTAAAAAATTTAAAAAGCTGAATGTCGGAAAACTGTAAATCATATCTTAATCTTATGTTTACATTTGATCACCATGTTTACATTTTATCTCTGCTCCACTTTAAGAAATGAAAATGTCTTGAGAGCAGTACTGAACGGAATTTCGGTTTTGTACACACCCTGTGTATACAAAATGACACTAAAGTTTGTCTAAGTCGAAAAATAGATGTTTTTTTTATACACATACCTTTGATTTGTGAGAAAATTCACAGTGAGAAACCTTCCTCGACTCTTGCTTGTGCCAACCCAGCCAGCCTCCGCTTGTTGAGAAGGCCACACACCGTCCTGTTCTATTGTAATCAGCTGTAAGCTTATCGGTTCTGCTATTAAATGATGATGATCCAACTGAAAAGTTCTGCATTAGTGTAACACCAGTCAGCAGAACTCTGTTTTATCTGCTTTTATTGGGAAGTTTATTTAATAAAGCCTAGGACTGCCATGTGTAGCTGTAGATAGCTGTTATGGAAATGAAGTGGAAGGACTTCTGTGTGCGTGTGTATGCCTTTCATACTTATATGTGTTTTTGTAAAAGCCCTTGTCAGCATGGCAGACTTGGGGAGACAGCATACCCTTGAGTCAGACAGGAATAGTAGCACCTTCCTCCCAGCGCTGCCCTTAATTAGCCACATTAGACAACAGAAGATAACAGTGCTGCTTCAGACAGCCTTTGTAACAACCTTTGTTCCCAGCTTTGCGTCGACAAAGCTCCAAACTGCTGCTGCACATATTATTTATGATAATATGGAGGATAAGCAGTAGAGGGGGTTGGCAGAAAGACATAAAGCAAGAAACCAGTTAAAAAGGTACCACTGTAAAAGGTTCACAATGTTGGTGAGTTTATTTTTGGGAGCAGGGGGATTTAGAAATAATTATATTCTGGAATGAGGAATCAGAGCATAGAGTAACATGGAGTGATGACTAAATCTCATCCGTGAACTTGATCGCTTTACAATCTCAAATTGGCATCTGGATTAGGGATCAGCAGACATTCAACCATGAGAAAAAAAAGGGATGAAGTCGGGCGAGGACC